TGGAGAAGGACTGGGATACTGTAAGGCATCAGTGGAGAGAATGGGTTGAGATGCACATGCTGAGATTTACATTTGTCCAACATCAAACTATCTCAGAACTTTTCTATTTATCACACCTTACTACTGCTACAATGGCTCTCATCTGGCTGAGTATTTCTAGCAAAAAAAAAAAAAAAAAAACTTAGATGGCTCTTTGGGCAAAGTAGGGTTGAACTTCTGTGACTTTGTACAAAGAGAAAAGCAAGGGAAGTTAATCACATACAATTTGGGTTCCAAACAAGCCCAAGGTTCTTAACATCCTAAGAAAACTGGAGTTTTCCTAGCTCAATACATTCTAAAACATCAATTAATTAAACAACAAAAAAAAAGAAAACCTACAAAAAATTAACCTAAGTCGTCTGTATTATAAAAAAAGTCACAAAGCCCAGTGTGGTGGCACAAGCCTGTAATCCCAGCTACTAGGGACACTAAGGCAGGAGAATTCCAACTCAGAGGCTAGCCTCAGCAACTTTTGGAGGCCCTGTTTCAAAATGAAAAGAAAAAACGGGCAGAAGATAGACCTCAGTGGTAGAGTACCTCAGGGTTCTATCCTTAGTACCACAAGAAAGAGGAAAAAAAAAAAATTATAGGATGAATAGATATACTCAGAAAGAGGGTCAAAGCATTGTCTAGCCTATAAACCCAGCAACTCAGAAGGCTAACGCAGGAGGATTATAAAACAAGGTCATCCTTAGCAACTTAGGGAGACCTTGTCCAAAATAAAAAATAGAAAAGGGCTAGGGGCTGGGTGCAGTGGCACACACATATAATCCCAACAGCTTTCGAGGCTGAAACAGAAGGACAGAGAGTTCAAAGTCAGCCTCAGCAGTTTAGTGAGGCCCTAAGCAACTTAGCAAGACCCTGTCTCTAAATATATTTTTTTAAAAGGCAGGGATGTGGCTCAGTGGTTAATTAACTAACTACCAATCCCAGATACCATAAATAGATAGATAGATAGATAGATAGATAGATAGATAGATAGGGCTGGGGATGTAACTTAGTAGTAATGCACCCCTTGGTTCAAACCCCATTACCAAAAACTAAATAAATTTTACCAAGAAATTCCTTATGTAATAAGAAAAAAAACTTTCCAGAACCAGAAAGATAATTTTTTTCTTACCCTCTAAACATAACATTCTTTCCAACAGATGTAGGAAGAAGAAAGGAAGATATTCTTTGTATAGATATAAAAACTAAAAGAAAAAAAAAGTGTGCTACAATTTTAATAAGAACGCTTGCTCTAAGTATTCATGCATATTCATTATAGGAGTGGTATATAATTAAACACATGAAACAAATTTGTTTGTCATTGTTCCCAGCATATACAAAGAGGTTTGCTGTGTTTAAATTCTTGCCAAAACTCCAATAAGTTTTCTTACATTGTGTCTTAATTCTTATATTTGACATTATGCTTTTAGTCTTCTGTTAATTATATAAAATAACTTAAAATGTTTAAAAGATCCTTTTTGATCTAGATGGTAAATAGTGATAACTATTTCTCCTGGTATACTGAGGGCTAATAAAATCCTTAAAAGAAAATTGCTTTACAGAAATGAACCAAAATTCTAAACACACAATGTTTTGATACAAGTTACTATGTAATTGTGTTTATACCATCATTTAAAACAATCTGATGGAAAAAAAAAAATCAAATATTTTTTAATCCTTCTCAAAAAAAAAAAAAAAAACAATAAAAAGAAAAAAGCTATCTAGGATTATATATTTAATTAGTAAATATGCCAAATATTTTGCATTTCTCACCTTTAAAATGTTATTTCTGAAATAACAAAAAAAGTCAATATAAATTCCCAATATCCTATCACCTAAAATTATTATCAAATTTTTATTTACAAAAAAGCTATTCCAATTTGCATAGAAAAAAATTTATATAGAAAATAAACTCTTGATATAGTTCTAAATTTTCTCTTCAATAAATAAACAATTTGTGAGAAAATACAAAATTATTTAATTCTTTTCTTTGCCCTCTTCTCCCCTACTACAAAAAGCTAATGTTGAGTAGTAAAACATGGAACATTAGGCCAAACTGGAAAGAGTGGATTGAAGTGTTATGATGCTGAGATTTACGGTCTTCCAACAAGGAACTACCTCAGAACTTCCCAATTTACCCACCTCAACAAGCTTTCAAAGGCAAAAATCTTTGTGACTTTCTACCTCCTCTATCACCTGTGGAGGCTTTTTTTTTTTTTTTTTTTTTTTTTTGGTACCAGGGATTGAACTCAGGGAACTTAACCACTGACCCATATCACCAACCCTTTTTTGTATTTTATTTAAAGACAGGGTGGAACTGAGTTGGTTAGCGCCTTATTAAGTTGCTGAGGCTGGCTTTGAACTCGCAATCCTCCTGCCTCAGCTTCCTGAACCACTGGGATTACAAGAGTAGGCCACCACTCCCAGCCTGTCAAGGCTTTGATGCCAACAGGTAGTAGTAATTTCATGTTCCCTAAACTAAATAGATTAGTTCTATCCTCCAAAAATTGGCCCTTTCCTTCTTACTTAAATATCCATTCCTTCTGCAGTAATTTCATACCAAGTAGTAAGGCCAAAATAGCACCCCACACATCACTTGCTAATTGCAAAAAGAAATGCTTCAATGAAAAGACAAGTTTGTCAACATCTTACATAAAAGATCAAATTTAGGATTACTAATAGGACAAGCCTACTTAAAGAGTCTTCTTATGTTATATAAATATACTGCATAACTCATAAAATATTCTTGCCAAAAACATTAAGCCTGTATCTACTCAAGCCTTCAACCTTAACTTGAGGCTTACAAAGGTATAGAAGGAAGAATTTAAATATCATGAGGAACTACTCAGAACATAGAACATTGGCTTTTCTACAAGACTACTGACTTGTTCTCTTCAAAAGATCAATGTCATTTTTAAAAATTTAAAAGATAAAGAAAAAGAGGAAACAACTCTAAATTTAAAAAGACTAAGACAAATATAATAAAGGGTTGGGTCCTAGATTCAAAAAGTGATTAAAAATGACATTTGGAGGACTAATGAGGAATTGCAAATATACACTATGTACATATAGTTGATTTTTAGGAATTATCATCTTTCTAGAGTGTGATTACAATATTTTATTACAGTATTCAGAAAAATGGGCTTTTCTTATGAGATACATGCTGATATATGTATAGTAACTAGGGGTGAAAAGTCCTATCTGAAACCTTCTTTGAAATGTTGAGTGTGAGATAGGTAGAAAAAACAAATATGGCAAAAAAAAAGTATTGTAAAACTAGGCGGAAGGGCTGTGGCTGTGGCTCAGTGGTAGAGCATTTGCCTGGCATGTGCGAGGTCCTGGGCTGGATCCTCAGCACCACATAAAAAAATAAACGAATAAAATAAAGGTATTGAGTTAAAATAAATAAATAAATAAATGGAACACGAGTGTTCAAATGTCTTATTCCACAAGTTTTCAAAATATTTGAAAAAATAACATCACTTAAACTTTGCAAAGTTGAGGGAATTATTTTCTTAAAAGTGAGATAAAGGGCAAGTGAATAGTATTTCTTCCATTCTTTTCAGGTAAGCCTCCTTGTCTATTGCCACCACTTCATTTCAAAATGAAGGGACAGACATACTATGAGTTGTGCACTGAAAAGGAGTCAGAAGGCCTCAGTTCTATAATTGGCCCTGGCCTTACTGGCCAGGTGATCTCATTAGTCATCTCTGCGAGGCAGTTTCCTCACCTTCAAAACAGTTCTATCAACTCAGACCACCTCAAAACGCACTAGATGGAACAAACTGATATCAATGACAGAAATTCAAGATACAAATACAATGATATCTGTAGTGAAGGCAGACCATAAGAACACACAAACCTAACTTAATTTTAAAAGAAAACCAATGTCCTCTCAGGCCCATTAAGTTTCTGCATCCAGAAAGAGTGGGTTGTTGACATACTAAACCCTCAAAGCAGGACACCTTACAAATGCTAAAAGGAAACTTGAACTTTCAAACTCTTTCTCGCTTCTAATTTTATGTTTAACTGCACTTTAAAAGACGTCAAATTCTGAAGATGCACAGTACAAACCTGAAAACAACAAAGCCAAAATTTTAAGTTGGCAGAATTTCTAAAAAAGGAACAAATGTTCGCAAACAAAGAGAATCCCTTGGCCGAAGGTCTCCCGTGCTTGCAGTAGCAGGTTCACGTTGTTGGATTTTCCCTTCTAGTGTATTTCTTCTTATAAGCGTTAAAACTTGAGATGAGTTGGGAGACATTCCTTCCATCTCCTGAGCAGGATAAAACCTCAGTGTGATCACTCTTTCCGGCTCATAAAGTGAAACCTGCAAAGCTCAATTTACAAAATCGTGTATCCAACTCACTGCTCAATGGGGCCCTTCTCGTGTAGACAATAACGGGACCTCTACGGCAAGGCAGGGAAGTCCGTTTGACATGAAATGAGGGTGTGCCCATGGAACGACCGGTCACCTGGGCAAGACGGGGGCCCTGTGCCTGGAAGTTCCGAATGCCCTTCGGTTTCCTTTCCTACGACTGAAGAGCCTCGGAGTAGGCTGTGGAGTGAGAGCATGGGTCTCCGCAAAACAACCGCACAAAGGTACCAATGGCCTAAAGGAAATGGCCCTCAGAGAGAAAACCCAAAGCCAGGCTGGGGATCGGCCGGCGCAGAGGCCTGGGCAGCGAGCCCGCGCAGGCGGAGGCGAGGCGACGGCCTGCGCAGCGCCAACCTGCCGCAGCCCCGGGCAGCCGCCGCGTCGCGCGGGGATCCCTCCCCGCTCGGGGCCGGCGCAAGATGGCGGTCGGGCCGCCGCCGCGCAGCCGGTCCCCTCCCCCGCGCCCAGGGCGCTCCCGACGACCCGCGCCGGCCTGGAGACCCCCAGCTCTGCGCCCCCGGAGTGAGGCGGCGCAGGCCGCGCGGGAGGGCCTCTGCCTGCTGCAGTGCAGGGCGGGCGGGGGCGGGGGGCGCTTACCGAGAGCGGAGCGGATCGGCCTGACTGGAGCCCTGAGGAGGAGGAGAAAGAGGAGGAGGAAAAGGAGGAGCACGAAAAACTACACGGCAGCGGCCGCGGCTCCCATTGCGGAGCAGGCTGCCGAGCCGTGGGAAGGGGGTTGTTCGCGAGCAGCCGACGCGCTGCCTCATGGGTAGGCTCCGGGTCAGCCTCCGTGCGTCCGGGATCCCTGTCTTCTCGCCAACGCGGGAGGCGGGCGCCGGCATGTGCGCCGCGTCGCAGGGCCTCGGGCCACGGGGTTCGCCACGCGCCGGCCCTGAGCGAGGGCAGGGCCTGGCACTGCAGTAGGTGCTGGCGTGCGCTGGGGCCAGCCCCGGGCAGCTATCCCCACGCACCGGCTGCGCTGAATTTGCAAGCTTGCAACAATGCCTTCTGGGTCCTGCTAGGTGCACCGGGTACCTCTCCGCAGACTTGAAAAGTAAAAAGGCCACGCAAGAGGGGCGAAGAGGAACACCAGTTGAGAAACAGGAATGAAGTCAGGTTCTTTTACTGGCTGACTTTACCAAATTTACAAAAATACATATGGTTTTGCTTGAATATCCTTTAATTCTACCTGCCATATGCATATTAACACGTATTAACTTCAAAAGAAAAAAGTTAGGGCAATGCATGTATAAATATAAGAAAGCAAGATCATGCTCTCATTAACGCTTGGTAAACACTGTATTCTGATCTGTAAGAAAAGTTTTCTCTACCCATAGTCCTCACAAGGTCAATTGCAGTAGGGGTCCAGCTCTCAAGACAGACCAGGACTTGAAATCTTGCCTCTGTAAGGTCCTTGCTTAGTATCTGGATGGCCATCTTAAGTGACAGCCGCCATTTTAAGAAAAATTTCTCTTTCCCGCCCAAAGGCCTTTCTGAGAAAGGCTTGCCACTCCCTCATACCAAGCCAATCCTTAACCACCCAAATTAGGACCCACCTGGCTCTAATCCCTGAGCCTGCCCCATAAAAGTTATGCAACCCAAGCCTGTATTATCTCTCTCCATCTGTGGAAAGATGGCCTGTATTTGTCAGCTCTGACAAATAAGCTCCTGTGCCTAGTCTCCTTCTTTCATGTCTCATTCGCCTGTCTCCCAGTTCCTCACTTTCCTTTCATTGGTGCCGAAACCCAGGATCAGGTTCCCCAGTATGCCTGCTCCCCTCTTCCAGGGTCACTGAGTGTCCCTGGGCCCCAGTCCCTCATCATGGGACCAGGTCCTCCGTTCTGCCCAACACCCTCTCTGTACCCACCACCAGACATTTCAGGTAAGACCCCTGTCTGCAGTTGATCTAAACAATCTATGGATCTTGAGAAGTGACCATCAATAGTCCAACACTCCCAGGGTTACTGTGTAGTCAGGGGCACCCGCAGCCACAGCTTTCACAGCTACAGCTGATCCTTACTATTGACTGGGTCTATAGGTGGTCTTTTATTTGGGTCCTGGGTTTTGAGAAGAACTTCCAGGGGTGATTGGGAGTTGTTCTTGGTGAGACCTCTTGGCCTTCGGTTAGTCTCTATGGCTTCTGTCTTTATTATGTAGTCTTGGCCAGGCACCCAAGTGCCTCTACAGGCCCTGCCCCCAATGCTTACCCAGAGGTGGTGATGACCCCCTGAGCGTAACTGACCTCTTCATTGAGTGATACTAGAGACTGGGGGACACCCCACCTCTAAACTCACCTCCTATGTGTCACCATGGGCGGATCCTAATCCATTCTGCCTCCTGGCTCTCTCTAACCATGGACCTAAAACCATTTGTGCAATCAGATCTGGCCTCAAAATCCTTTGGAGTCTAAATGGCTGCTTAATGTCACTCTAGATCCCAATATTATCAGGTTGGGCTGTCGCTGCCCAACCCGCACCTCTGGATCCTCTATGCGAGGTGGCTGGGGTAGATGGTGTAATCCAGGTTCATGTGCCTTTCTCTTTGTCAGATCTTTCACAGATAGAAAAGCAGATTGGGTCCTATACTTAAAGCCCCACCACATATATCAAAGAGTTTCAATATCTGAGGCAATCATGTGAGCATTCAGGAAAATGGAAAGAGAAATCATACATTCAGGCTTTCTCCTCTCCATGTTCTAAGCCTTCTGTCTGCAAATCTTGCTCTTCTGTACAAGTTCTCTTAGCTCTTACCTCCCCTAAGCCTGCTTCCAAAGGGACAGAAGATCCTACCCAGGACTCCTCCTCCTTTGACCCAGCAGATGAGCCCCTGCCAAACCATAATTCTCTTTCTGATGAAGCTGCTGCAGCAACTGTCCCTCCACCCTTTTCTCCTCCTGCTAGATACTCACAGGCTGCCACTGCCCAACCAGAATCTCTGTGTCCTCTATTCGAGGTAGCTGGGGTAGATGGTGTAATCTGGGTTCACGTGCTTTTCTCTTTGTCAGATCTTTCACAGGTAGAAAAGCAGATTGGGTCCTATACTTCAAGCCCCACCACATATATCAAAGAGTTTTAATATCTGATCCAATCATGATTTGACCTTCCATGATGTCCATATGATCTTGTCTAACACCCTCTTGCCTGAGGAGCGCAGGTGAGTTTGGGAGCAAGCTAGAAATTATGCTGATGAGGTACATCAGACCTCCCCTGCCCATCCGATTGGCATTGAAGTAGTCCCTGATCAGAACCCCAACTGGGATTATAATTTGCCCAGAGGAATAATTAGTAGAAAGAAAGACAGCCCATAAGTCTATCAGTTATGAAAAGCTGCAAGTCATCCAAGATAAAAATGAAAACCCTTCAGCATTTTTTGATCACCTGACCAAGGCTTTATTACAATATACTAATCTAGACCCTGAGACTCCAGATGGGGAGACAACTACTAATGACCAACTTTTTCTCCCAGAGTTTCCCTGATATTAAGGCCAAACTAAGGTGCCCCGAGAGGGGACCCCTAACTCTCCAAGCTAAGGTTCTGGGTGTATAACAGGAGAAACAAGAAGGCCTGGAAGCAGAAATATCAGATGCTCACTCAAGCCATCCATCCGGCCTCAGCATCTGTCCCTGGTTCCATTGGCCCATGGAAGGGTCCTCCAGGACTGTCCCGAGCCTGTATTAAATGTGGTCAGACGAGTCACTGGGCTCGTACATATCCTAAGCCCTCACAAGCCTCCGGGTCCTTGTCCTAAATGCCATCAGGAGGGACACTGGGCTGTTGACTGTCCCTGAGCCTATAGCGGCCCCCAGCATCCAGCCCTTCTGATTCCCCTTTCCAACTCTTAGGACTGGCTGCAGAAGACTCACTAGGCACAGGTCCCCATCACCTGATCACTACCATCACTCCACGGGAACCCAAGGTAACTGCGGATTTCAGGTAGATCTGTCTCCTTCCTCCTAAACACTGGAGCTACATATTCAGTCCTCAAGGAGTTCTGGGGGCCTACCACTTGTTCTATGACCTCTATTGTCGGAGTGGAGGGCAAACCTTACCAGCCCTTGCAAACATCTAGCTTTGTTTGCACCTTTGGCTCTCTAGTTTTCATCCACTCCTTTTTGGTCATTCCACAGTGCTGTGTTCCCCTTATGGGAAGGAACATCCTTGCAAAGTTGGGGAGCTGTGCTTTCCTTCTCCTTTCATATACGCTTCCATCCAGACTCACCTGCTACTCCCCTTTCCTCACCCTTACATTAGGACCATCCCCTGTTTTGTCTGCCAGTGCCTTCCCATTACTGCCTTCTGAAGTGGGCTTCTAGACAAACAAGGGACCCAGAACTCTCCTACATTGTAAAGCCCTAGGTAGCAATCTCCCTGGCCAAGGCCACACTGAAGCTAACATTGAAATACAAAGGACAGGGCTGGGGATGTGGCCTAAGTGGTAGCACGCTCCCCTGGCGTGTGTGGGGCTCTGGGTTGGATTCTCAACACCACATAAAATAAAATAAACATATTGTGTCCACCTAAAACTAAAATTATATATATATATTTTAAAAAAAGATGTTGTGTCCACCGAAAACTAAAAAGTAAATATTTAAAAATTCCCTCTCTCTCTCTCAAAAAAAAAAAAGAAATAAAGAAATACAAAGGACAGACTCAGCAAGCTTGATAAGAGGCCTAAAGAAAAAAAAGAAAGAAAAAGAAAAAAAGTGTCAATTTAACTTTTCCCTTGGCTACAACACAGAAGAATGGCTTCAAAACTTTCTTTATCTCCCTGATCTCACATGCCCATTTCACCTTTAATGTGCCTGAAAAGCAGGGATTTGCTCTAGGGGTCCTCAGACACATGCTGGGGCCAACCTTTGCCCATGTGGCTTATTCATCAAAGAGTCTTGACCCTACTGTTCAGGGATGGGTCCCTTGCCTACAACATTGGCCGCAGCCTCTCTACTCATATTAATGAGTCAGAGAAACTCACCTTTGGGCCCAACTCACCATCCTGGTTCCCCATTACTTAAAGAAACTCCTCACCTACTTAAACTCCTCCCCATTAGTTAAAAAAACCCTTCACTTTTTATCTGTACAGGTTTCCCTTGTGGAAGATCCCAGTCTTACTTTCCACACGTGCTCACCTTTAAAGCCTGCTACTCTCCTCCCCATTCATCAAGACTCTTCCACCTCTTCTCCTCTTACCCATTCATGCTTTGAAACTCTGGAGGAGTTTCTTCCATCTCCCTTCCACTTACAGGAAGGCCTCTTGCTCCAGGCAACATACACTTGGTTCTCAGATGGCTCCTCCTTCCTTCAGGAGGGAGTTCCTCAGGCAGGGTATGCTATAGTCTCTCCAACATCGGTTATGAAAGCTGCTCCCCTCCCCAATAATACATCCAGTCAGCAGGCTGAACTTGTTGCCCCTTGTCAGAACCTTCACTTTGGCAAAGGGAGTCTCCCTCAATGTCTACACTGATTCTAACTATAGTTTCCACATACTTCTCTCCCATTCTGCTATTTGGAAGTGTAAGACGCTGTACCGCACTACGAATGGGAGACACCACACGGTACAGATCACCAGAGCGGTTCCACTTTATTACAAAAAACTGTGTGTTTATATAGATCTAAGGAGAGGTAGCAGGGCTGAGGTAGATAACGGGTGGCCCGTTTATTGGGAAGCTCTTCCATAAGTCAGTTCCAGAGCCCAAGAAGTTAATTCTTATTGAGGCTAAGGCTTCCCACCCGCAGGATTTGAACATTGGCGCCAGCGGGAACGTTTCGCTCCAGTGAAAGAA